AGGGTTGCCAGCTTTCCTGTTGGTTCTCTTCTTCAGCAAATGTCAACCTTTGCTGAGCCATTGAGGCAAAGGGCGTTTCTGGTTGTTTCTGGGATTGCCAGCCATAGCCTCCTTTCTGGGTGTCAAGCAGATTCTTTTCTGAGGGTGTCCAAATCTCAAAAGGACAGCAGGTCCTTAGGCTAGGCACCACAGGCAGGGACAACTGCCAGAAGCACTGCTGCCCCCAAACTGGCAAATTCTAGACTGTGCCAGAACCAAGGTCAAAATGCCAGGAGGTATCCAGGTGCCATTACACGAGGGGCCGTGGGCTAGGGCCAAAAGGAAAATAGAGGCCTTGAGAATGCCCAGGAGGCAAGTATAGATTAGACTTGCATCACTTAGAGCTCTTGGTCTTAAGTGACCCATCAGAGCTCCATCAAATAAAAGGGGGGGGATTTATTTAAAGGTACAGGAGCAGGAGTGAAATAAGGCCCCAGGGGGCAGTAGGAACCAGGGCTCTAAACTCCATCAGTGTCTTCTCTTTTTTCATTTACTTGTTGATTACACATCTGTTCTGTAGGCCCTGTTGCTGGGTGCTGAGGATTGAGTACTAAGCAAGATAGACGAGGTCCCCACCCTTCAATAGGGGAGACAGAAATAAAATCATTAATTACCCCCATTAGTAACTTAATAGCAATTGTGATAAATGTTGCAAAAGAAAAGGACTCTCCATGAGGGGCTCTTAATCAGCCTGGGGAAGAGGGAGACAGAGAGTAGGGGTGGGGAGGAGGATCACTTTGAGGAAATGATATTAAAATTGAACTTTAAAGCATTCATACGAATTAATCCCAAAGTATTTACCAGTAGATGTGATAGGGACAATTTCAATGGTTCATGGGTGAACATTTTTGTATTTATTCATAAACTAGAGGCCTGGCGCATGAAATTCATGCATGGGTACAGTCCCTAGGCCTGGCCTGTGATCAGGGCCATCTTCCCTGGCTGCCCGCAGCCGCACCCCACCTCTCCCCCCGCACCGCCACCCACCCCCCGTTCCCTGTTCACCATTGGGCGATCGGAGCCTGCTGGCCGGGGAAAGGGTGGCCAGGGAAAGGGACCGAGAGGTGGTCAGTGTGCCTCATAGTGACTGGTCAAGTGGTCATTCTGGTCATTCTGCTGTTAGGGTCAATTTGCATATTACCCTTTTATTATATAGGATGATTTCACAGACATTATTATTTCATATAGTATCATTTAAGATGAAAGTAAATAAATAAGGGTACAATTTAAATATTAAGTAATAATAATGGAAGTGGTAATAGATAGGACAAAAGTCACAAAGGTCACACTTGAATTAAGCAGACCATGCAGGGCCTTGGCAGCTACTTTAAGTATTTTGAACTTTAGACTAAAAATGATAGGAAGTATTGTGGGAAAGGGATTTCGGTGTTGAGAAGATCACTTTGGCTACTGCTGGTGAGCACTATGTGAGAGGGCCAGACCAAAGCGGGCACCCCTGTTAGGCGTATACTGTATTTTAATAATACAAGCAAGAGATAATGCCTACTTGGACAGGTGTGTGGGCAGGGGAGAGAAGTAGAAAAATTAAAGAAATGCTACCAGCTGGACTAATGAGAAATGAGGGAGAAGAAGATGTCCAGCGTGGAGCTTTTCTAGCCTGGTGGAGGAGGAAGATGGTGAGTTATCCAAGTGTAGATGTCAAGTAGGTGGTTGTAGGTCACATGTCTGTAATAGTTAAACTTCAGTAAAACAGGCGACTTCACAGAGCTAGTGTGTATACTCACTCAGAAAGCAGAGGACACAGCCAATGTTCCATAAACTGCAGTTCTGCCCCCCTCTGTCCCATAGCGTGCTAGTGTTCCAGCGGTGGTCAACGCTTGGTTGCGGTTGTGTTTACTCCAGGCCTCCTTCCCCCTGACCCCTTGCACCACCCCCTTTCTCGTCACAATTCCTGGCTCACAGTGGATGCTCAATGTATGTAGAATGAACGAAAGGATTTTGCGCCTCTTGTGCCCCAGGGCTTCCTGTACCCGGCTGAAAACGGGAGCTGAACCAGATCTTTGGTTGGTTGTAAAATTAAATTTTAAGAAGTGTGCATGAAATAATACAGAAGTTGGAAAGCCTGGACAAAGGCCGGGGCGGGGGCTCCTCCCGCCAAGCGGCCTCCGAGTCTGGTGAATGAATGAGGAAGCGCTGGTGGGAGCCCTGGGACCCCCGTCACCAAGGCAGAGCAGTCCTGGGGAGGTGCAGAAGCGGGATATCGCCTCCCGCCCGCCCGGCGCGGTCTG